CACCCTGGAAGTCAGGTTTGATAAATCATCTAATCCTCTTTTGAAATCGGTTCCTTTCTGCCTCTGTGAATTCTGAGTTATGAACTACATGGGTATCTAAAGCAGAATTCCGATTCTATTGTTTCTGCCTATACTTTCAGCGAGGCCATTGGCGATCCATTCGGGAGACCGTGTTCCGTTTCCAGTCAAGGCACTGCATGCGCGGTCACTCCCTATCTGTCGGGGGCGGCTTGCGTGCTTGCTGTGATGTTGACCAGATTTCTAGGTGCTTGCAGAGCATGGTAACCTGGGAAGAAAAGCCCGCTGATCCACTTTAGAAACATCAGGCAATGGAAACCCTGTGGGGAACAACGGGCTGCTGACTTGAGTCGCAATGAATCGTAAGGATGGGGCAGCCCCGCACAGTGTTTCCCTACGTGGTGCACAGTCACCACGAGTCAGGGCCATTTCAATGGCCGCTCGCACCACCGCCACCGCGTTGAGTTCCAAGTTCCCGAATTTGACGGTGAAACGAACAGCAGCTTGCTTGATCCCACTGACTCCAATTTTAGAATCTTGGCTCACTTCCTCTATTTCTTTCTCCTTTAGGATAAGATACAAAGGGGTCTTCAAAGAGTTTGTGGAAAATTGAATGGAAAGATAATGGATTTTTTCCCCATGCTGTTTTTAAAGCTCCATTGTAATTGTAGCATCGTTTGCCAGTACCTCGAATTGCCCTTCCTTCCACTTGTTTTGCTCTTTCAGGTACAGCGCACAAACTCCGTGTGTTTACCCTAGTCCTACGTATATAACCACATCGACACATTCTCTGTTTTGCTACTTGCATTCTTTTTTCTGATATTGCTGAACCCTTGGTTCCAATTGTATTTCAGATCCATGTGCCCAGTTCTAAGACATGGCAGGGGTTATAGTCTTTGGACATGGTGTGGGCCATGTTCTTGCAGCAAATTGCTATTTTTTCACACAAATAATGTGTGCACTGCATGTTTTTGCATACCATGCAAAGCCCAGGCACATTGGCATAGTGGGTAATGCATTGGGCTGATAACCAGCAAGTCCAGAAGCTTGAACCGCTAGTGTTTCTTTGGGAGACCGAAGAGGATTTCTACTCACGTAAAGACTCAAAGACTCACAGGGCCGGGTCTTTGCTGCTGGATAGCATTGCCATCATTCAGAATCCACTCGTGGGCTGTGAGTTTGGTTTTGAGTTTGTACCTAAGCATCAAACTCTTTGCTGTCGAGTCAAATACCAACGTATGACAACGCCACAGGACCGAGTAGAATCCCTCCCCTCATAGGAGTTCTAAGAGTGTAAGTCTTTATTGAAAGCATTCTGCTTGTCTTTCTCTTGTGGCGTAACTGGTAGAATCAAACGGCCAGATTTTGGGTGAGCAGGTGAGTGCTTAACTACCATGCTACTAGGATTCCTAAGTATGCCACAGCAATATCTATATCTATATCTTTACATATTGATTTCTATTCCAATATTTTGATCTGCCCAACAGATTTAGTGTTAGGCCTTTGTCCCGGTGCCTATTGATTTGGTTTGGTTTTGAACCCTCACTCACCTACCCTCACGTTACTAAAGCAGCCTCTTTCCTGGGAAGGATTCCTTCCTGGCTCTGCGACATGCTTTCTCCAAGACAGGAAGAAATCTCATTTTCATCCCCAGAAACGACCCTCACCAGGGCAGCCAGTCACCACCCCCCTCAGGCAGTGCACCTGTCGGTCTCCTCATCCTGGTCTGAGCAGCTACTAAGGCAGGGGAGGCTGGGGCACTGGAGGCACGCACATGCCACCGTGCCCTCTGGTTGACTGTTGTGGTCGGACTATTTGAACGTTCCATATCATGGACACCGCAGGGTGTGTGTGAGAGCGATGAGCTCAGAGGGGTCACATGCTCCTTGCTCTGATGAAATTGATTTCTTCATAGAGCCAGGGCAGATAGGGCCCATACCACCCTGCCATGTTACCCGGCTGCGGGAGAGTTAAGCACCGTGTGACTTAGGCATGTGCAGGCAAAGACTCCCACCAACCGTGAGACCAGCCCATGTTCAGGCTGTGGCAGCCCTGGGAACAGCCCACCTCTTGACCTTCGTCCAGTCTCCAGTGCAATGCACTTGGACACAGGGTTGCTACAAGGAGCTCCACTGCTCTCAGGGCCAGCTGTGAACAGCCCCAGAACTAATACAGAGTTTCCAGCTGTTTGATTTCCCTGTTTCCTGGGCACTGCCAAGTTCATGACTTCTTGACCATGGCTTGTCCCCTTATTATACAAATATGATTAAAGTAACATTATTGGATTATTGTCTGAGGATGAGTGAGGCTGAATTTCACTTCAGAAAATGTCACAAGGCATGTGCAGTATATGCATGGGCATGCTGTGTCAGAATTTCTAAAAACATATTTTGTCATTTTTTTCATATGTATGCATGGGTTATTTACATAGACGTTTGTGATCATGTGGTGTATCTTGTATACAAGGGACTTCATAAAGTTCATGGAAAAATTCTATTATTTTCTATGAACTTTTTGAAGTCCCTCATTTGTATACATATAGGAATATTTAACTGGAGAAATTCTAATGAGGAACAAAAATTACTTTATATGAGAGTTGATGGCAGGAAATGTTTATTGGGTCAAAAGACTTCATTGAATGACAGGGAAAAATAACAGGTTAGGATTAAATGGTTGTTGTAGATAATCCTCAAAATGAATGAATTCACGTGAACTAATCTAACAGACAGCATCAGCTTTGAGGATGACCATATTGTCTCTGATTTTTAAACAGGATAGTTGAAAAGCCGGCACTTTGTGAAGTTACCAAAAAAGTGATTAAAAGGGAAAATGGTTTTTCTAGGAAAAAAATGACAGCGCTCACCTTTGATCTTCCTCATGCTCATCCTCCCGCCCTCCCCTGTCAGCCACGAATCCTTCTTCACTTTACTTCTTCCTCCCTCCCTTCCTTTCTTCCTTCCTTCATTTTTCGCTTCCCTCGCTCTCCCTTTCCTGCCCCCTCCCCCCTTCTTCTTCTAACTCCCTCCCTCCCTTTTCTTTCTGCTAGTGATGGCTGCTGTGGCCACGCCTACTACAGCACTGACTTCTCACCCCACGGTACCTTATTGGTGGTGCATAGGGCTCAGTCTTCTTATTGGACTCAAAGCAGCTTGAGAGAAGTATCTGTACCTCATCCACAGTGTCTCTATTGTGCCTTACAGGTCATTGATCCTCAATAGATGTGAACCTACGCACCTTAGTTGTATAGTTAATACAAAATTAACATAATAAATGAATGATTGATGTATTAATGAATATGAACACCGAAATAGGTTGTAGCTAAATTAAGATATAAATATCTATCATTAGACTGACTTAATAACTTGAACGATCTGAAATATTGTGAGGTGAACCGTGCTACCTAATTGTTCGTTCGGAAAACTCTATTAGAATCATAAAGTGGGTTTGCAGGCAAAAGATAAAGACATCTTTTCTGGATGGCAAGGCTAATGAAATGTTGCCCTAGATTACCACAGAAGGGGGTGAAGGCTCCGTTCCCTTGAGATTTACAAAAAACGGACAGAGAAAACATCTGTGAGATTGGTGTCAGCATCAAGCCTGTGTCAAGGGCAGTAGATGGAAAGAATGACAAATGGCTCTGTGATCCTTTGATTACTTAGCCCGGGGAGGAGGAATCCAAGAGGGAGACATTAAAACGACTTTGAACAAGTCGGTTGAGCAAGCTGACACTGAAGTCTTGGAAATTTAAGGTGCATTTTATAGTCGAGGAACTTACGTCATAGGTGGCAAAAGTCTGGAAAATACAAGCTATTTATCCTTGTGCATTGTGCTTTGATTCTGCTTCAACATGCGCATTTTGTGCAGCAGCGAGGAGTAGGGGAGACTCTCCCAAGATGCTGCAGGACTGGCAGATATAACACTCTTGTTTTGAAACCAACTTGAACGTCACAGAATAATCCAAGTCCATGTCTGTTCTACTTCTCCTTTTGCAGCCACTCAGATCAGGGCTGACAGCCGCTGGGTCAGGAAATCTGGAGGGTTGGAAAGGCTCCATCTCGCTCATACATTTTAGCTTTAGTTTCTTAGTGTTTTCACTTATACATATATTTTTTCTTTCCATTTTGCTTGTGGAAGATAGTACTTACAAAACACACTCTAGGTCGGATCACGGCCCATCTCATCCAATCAAATCAGTGACAGCATCCCATTAACTAGCCCCCACCCCACCTCCCGCATATGTGGCTCTTTTTGTTCTCCCGCCACACCCTTACTCCCTTTATCTTTTCCTGTCCCTCCCCTCACTCTCTAGCCCCTCTGACCCTGGCCTCATCACCGTTTTTCCAAGTCTTGTCCTTTGGTGTGAAAACCATTTTTTCTTTGATAACGATTGTGCCGTGAAATAGTTATCTTCATGAGATTGACTGACTTTGCTGAGCATCACGTTGTCTCATTTTGTCCATGTCTTAAGATATTGACAGACCTGTAGTTGTTTTTTAAGGATGCATAATAATCCATTGTATGACGGTACCAACATTGGTTTATCTATTCCTCTATAGTCAGGGGTTTTGGTGGTTTCCAAAGAGCATTATTTTGGGAAAGTAAGATTTCTGGAAGTTTTATTTTAAGGCATGGATGACCATTGCTTCAAGAATACGAGAGATGGCAGGTGGAGGTGGGGGCACAGCTGAGACAATAGCTATGTAATGTTTTCTTCACAATATTTCTATAGAGTTGCATTATTAAATCCCTCATTGAAGCATTAGAACAGAGCCATCTTCTGCCATTTAGTTTGACCTCTGGGCCTTTGCCAATGAAAATGTACAAGAATTGAAGGGTTTCAAAAAGCCTATCAATGAGAAGGGAACCAAATACCTATCAAAAAAAACACACCAATTTCCATCAGCTACTTGATTGTCATTTCCACACGGAACCACAAGATGTCACAATTGGATTTTGATTTTTCACTGTGTGTTTCTCTCTAGAGGAGGGCATTTTCAAAGCCGGAGCGGAGAGATCTGAGACGCGGGGGGCAGCAGAAGTCCAGGAAGATGAAGACACTCAGGTTGAGGTTCCGGTCGATCAGGTGCTTTCCACGTCTCTAAAACAATGCATAAACCAATGATTGCTGCTTCCTCTCCTTTTCTGTGTGTTATTTGCTCCACCCTGGCCCTAGGCACAGGTAGTGGGGCTTTCTCAGGTGCTATTCGGCCGAAAGCCCTTAAAATCCAACCAAAGCATCTTTGGTTGTTCTTTCAAAGAAATGCCCTTGGACAGAGCCCTTTCTTTATTATGAAAAATGGCCTAGCTTTAATTAATCGCCTTAGGGAGGAGGATGGGATGGAGTAAGTATGAGATACAAATGGAAGAAATACGATAGGGCAGAGGGAACTGGGTTGGAGTCTTTAATCTAGAAGTAAGTCCTCCATTTAGAAAAGTAGTTTCTTTGTGTCTATGCTTATGTTGCGAAGAAATGCCATCACACCTATTGTGAGTAAAATTCATTTTTCATACAAATGCGATACAAAAAATCCGCTGAATTTGACTTTCTCAGGCCAACAAAACATTGAGCTTTTTTTTTTTTCTTCCCGGAATGAATATACGTGTCTGTGTGTGTGCTTATAGAAAGGCCTGAGTGGTGTTAATTCTGACGATGCAAAGAAGACAAGTCATGCAATTTAACAGTGTTTCTCAGATCCGGAGAGGGGGGTGGGATATAGGCAAGGTGGGGGATTAAGTCATAATCCCAGGCTTTTGGAAAAAGGAAGAGGTCACTCAAGATTGCCCCCTGTCCTCGGACCATTCTGTGACATTTTATTTTCCAAAAGCAAATTTCACAATCCAGTAAATCCCATCGGTGGTCTCCTCAGTTGTGTTTGTCTCGATGGTGAGGCAAGGGAAATTGCTGCTTGAATATTCCACAGGCATTTTCTGCAAGCCTTGCCTTTCTGATGAAAAGCCTAACATGTTAAAAATCACACAGATTTCAAAAAATCCAATTTATTACCCAGGATTAGCTAGAACTAATCATTTTTCATAAACTCCAGTTATAGGTGTTTTTCTCCCCTGAGGGAAAATGGAATTTCAAATCTTCGGTGCAGCTATAATTAAATATTATGTTTTTATACTGAGAAGAGTAATCATCATGTATACATCACAGCTAATAGCCTCAGAAACCGAGACTAATTTATATTCCAAAGTCAAGATGACAAATATCAAGAAAAAAAATCTTAGCATTATTACCAAAAGAGGAATCTCTTTGCTAATCACCAGCTTAACAATTGCAAAATCGAATAGTGTTTCTTCGAGAATCGATTTGATGACCATAAGGAACTGGGGCTGGGAGGGGGCTCAGATCTCTGCTGATACTTGAACAGCCTTAGATAAGGTGTTTGTAGAGGTTTTTTGTTTTTTTTTTAATTTAAGAGTGCTAGCTTATTAAAATGCAACTTTAGAAGGGTCTATTTTATGTTGCATATGGTACAAACAGTTAACCCCTCTGGCTGATAACTGAAAGGATGTGGGATCAAGTCCACCCAGAGGAGGCTTGGTGATCTGCTTCCAAAATGTCAGCCATTGAAAACTCTATGGGGCGCAACTGTACGCTGATAGACATGGAATTCCCATGAGCCAAACTTGAAGGTCCCTGATAGCTCATGTGCAACAGAGAATGATTCAACAGCAGAGCAACATCTGGACCGTATCCATGCCCTGATGTCAGCCTGAAGGAAGCAAAACCGGGTAGCAAACCATCAGAATGACTGTCTTCTTCGACCCTGTGGGCAATAGAGGAGGTATTGTCTAGTTTATTTGGTTGGCATGCAGTTCTACTTAGAAGTCAGGTCTTCAAGTCAGTTTTTCTGAGATGTGATGGCTTTTGTCCTATCCCCGGCAGCTATATTGCAAATACTGGGGAAAAACTAAGTGAGCATGTGGAGAACGTAGTGTAAAACCACTGGCTGGCCCCATTATAATCAGAACAATTCCAGGGATCTTCCCCAATGATGGAAAGAGTTCTGGTGGTGTAGTGGTTACAGGTTGGCCTACTATTTGTAAGGTTCACAGTTCAAAACCATCAGCCTCTCTTCAGGAGAAAATGAGGCTTTCTATTCCTGTTTAGCGTTACCATCTCAAAAACTCACAGGGGCAGTTCTACTCTGTCCTATAGGGTTGTTATGAGTCCACATCTGCTCGGTGGCAGTGCATTTGTTTTTTGTTTATGTTTTTGCCTTCATGATGATGCCTATTGAACAATAGTTATCCATTGCTGTTGAGTGGACTTGAAATCATGGCAACTCCATGTGCAATAGAACAACACGTGGATTCATTGGTTTTTTGAATTGGCCTGCGTGTCAATGCATCTTATGGAGAGCTTCACTCATTTCTACTTTACCAAACACAATGCCCTCTTCTGGCGATTGCTGTTTCCTGATTATGTCCAGCACTATATTGGACAATATTCTATTGTAACCCATGGGGTTTTCATTGGCTAATTTTGGATGTAGATCACCCAGTCAGCCTGTTCATTATGATGATCCTCTTGGTATGTAAAAGATTGGTAGCTTAGTTTTCCCTATTCCAGAGAGACGCAAATCAAACTGACAAACGGACAGACATATGATGGTTATTAAATAATAACAATCTGACCGACATATAGTGGTTATTAAATAATAACAACCATGAATTAAGTGTCTACCAAGTGCCATCAGCTGTAGTAGGCATATTTTATCTCATATGATTGTGATGACAACCGAGAAAGGTAGGTCTTATCATGTTCATTTTGTGCACAGGAAGAACAATAGCTCACATTGATGAAACCACTTGGCCATGGCTACACAGCAAAGGAGTTGGGGTTTGAATTCATGTCTAACTTCAAAGCAGAGCTGTGATCTGTGGGGCAGATATTAAATGAAAGAAAGAGAAAAATGGACAATTAATAACCCAGGGAAGTAAAAATGCCCTGCATAAGATGAACATATTGCAACAGTATACACCATCTACTCTTTAGCTCAGCTATAAGTATACGTATATATACTACTGACTGAAACAGCCATCAATGAATGGCTCTTATGTAAGTTCAGGTTGAAGCTGAAGAAAATTAAAACCAGTCCACAGGAGCCAAAATACAGCCTTGAGTATCCCACCTGCATTTCGATAACATCAGATGATCAGATTTGACTCATTTAACATTAATGATGGAAGAACCTGGTGAGCTTTGGGATGACATCAAGAACATTGTACATGAAGAAAGCAAAAGGTCATGAAAAAGACAGCAAAGAAAGAAAAAAATCGAAACGGATGTCAGAGACTCTAAAACTTACTCTTAATCATAGAGTAGCAAACGCACATGGAAGAAATGATGAAGTCAAAGAGCTGAACAGAACATTTCAAAGGGCAGCTCTAGAAGATCAAAGTAAAATAGTATAATGAAACCTGCAAGGATTTAGAGTTAGAAAACCAAAAAAGAACATGCTCAGCATATCTTAAACTGGAAGAATTGAAGAAAAAGTTCAACCCTCGAGTTGTACAAATCTGGTTAGACCAGAGGATGTACACTGGTACAGATAGCAACTGGAAACACAGGGAATCCAGGACAGATGATCCCTTCAGGACCAGTGGTGAGAGTGGGGATACCAGGAGGGTGGAGGGAAGGTGGAGTAGAAAGGGGGAACCGATCACAAGGATCTATATATAATCTCCTCCCTGGGGGATGGACAACAGAAAAGTGGGTGAAGGGAGACGTCGAAAAGTGTAAGATACGACAAAATAATCATAATTTATAAATTATCAAGGGTTCATGAGGGAGGGACAGTATGGAGGGAGGGGAAAATGAGGAGCTGATACCAAAGGCTCAAGTAGAAAGCAAATGTTTTGAGAATGATGATGGCAACAAATGTACAAATGTGCTTGACACAATTGATGGATGTTTGGATTGTGATAAGAGTTGTACAAGCCCCCAATAAAATGATTAAATTAAAAAAGAAAGAACATTTCTATGGGAAAAAATATTGTATACGGCCGGTAGCATCAGAAAAAGATAGAACACACAGGGTCCATGTACAAACAAAACAAAACAAAAAAATCTCCCCAAATTAGTCAACATTCAACCATTTCAAGAGGTAGCATATGAGCAAGACCATTGGTACTGAAGGAAGAAACTGAGAGGCACTGAACGCATTAGCCAAAAACAGGACCCCAGAAATGGATGGAATACCAATTGAAATGTTTCAACAAGCTGATGAAGCACTGTGCCAGGACATTTGGAAGCCAGCTACTTGGCCAACTGACCAGGAGAGATTCATATTTGTACCCATTCCAAAGAAAGGGTGACTCAGTAGAATGCTCAAATTATAGGACAATATCATTAATATCACATGCAAGTAAAATTTTGCTTAAGATCATCCAACAACAGTGGCGGTAGTACAATGACAGGGAGCTGCCAGAGCTTCAGGAGGGATTCAGAAGAGGAAGCGGAACCAAGGATATCATTGCTGATATCAGATGGATCTTGGCTGAAAACAGAGCATACCAAGAATTCGTTTACATCATGCCCATGAAGAACCTGCATATGGGTCAAGCGACTACACTTGTAAAATGTCCGTGCTGAGCAAATAATCATTGAACCTGGGTTATATGAAGCAGAATGCGTCATCCGGATTGGAGGAATTTCTCTTAACAACCTTTGATACGCAGATGATACAACTTTGCTTGCTGAAAATGAGGAAACATGGAAGCACTTGATGAAGAGCAAGGATTGAAGCCTTTGGTATGGAATACAACTCAACGTCAAGAAGAAACGACTTGTCATAACTGGACCAATAGGGAGCACCCTGACAAACAGAGAACAGATTGTAGTTGTCAAGGATTTCATCTTTCTTGGATCCACAATCAATGCCCAGGGACTCATCAGTCAAAAGATGAAAGGACACATTGTGTTGGGTAGATGTGCTGCACACAACTCTCTAGAGTATTGATAAGCAAGGAGGTGACTTTGAGGGCCAAGGTTCACCTGACCCAAGCCACGGTATTTTCAATGGTCTCCACTGCATGTGAAAGTTGGACATTGAGTCGGGAAGACAGAGAATC